AAATGGTTAGGTAATATGATTTATTTTGTAGATGGAACCTACCAGACTATTATGGATTGGATTTTGAATGTGAAGGAAAAAATTTTCAAGGGATTCCTGGGATTTTGATGCAGGAGTGGATTGTGGCAGGAAAATAAAGTTTTCTTTTAACCATGTTAAGTTTCATGTGCCAATTGGATATCCAAGAATGAATGTCACCGGGTATTATTTTGGAATTCTGAAGAGAACTCAGTGCTATGAGTTGTCTGTATGGGTCTTTGCAGCTATTTGATTAAATGAGATCTAGGAAGAGAGTGTACAGAGGATGAGGCCGAGGACTGAGCCCTTAGATCCTCCCCAAATTTAGGGATCTAGTACAGGAGAAGCATACAAAGAAACTAGGAAGACAAAATTGGTGTCATGGAAAGCTCTTTCAAGAGTTTATCTTAAAAAGAAATAGGCAGTTGAGTCTGTAAGGAAGTCAAAAAAGGTAGTGGATTAATTAGGGTGACTAACTGCTATAATAGACCCCAGAATGTTTAATGGCTCAAACATGTTTTTTTACCCCTAATATGAAAAAGTACAAGAGTGGTAATGAAGAGGCCAGTGGCCTGGCCCTCCCCCTGACTGTAGTCTTCTCCCTTGTAGCTAGCTGAAAGGGAAAAGGAACACAGAGGATCTTGAATGGAGATTTTTATGGACCAGGACTGGAAATGGTACCCATGTGGCTTGAATTCAGTCCTATGACCACCCCTAACTGCAATGGAGCTTGAACAAAAGAAGCCACACAGTAAAAAAGAACCACCTTATTGTAACTAGTAATCTCTGCTACAGATGGCTTTGGCAGGATGTAGGTCTTAATGATTTGTGAAGAACTATTTCAGTGAAGCGGTAAGGATGAAAGCCCAAGAGAACTGAAGGTAAGAAATGAACACATTTTTTTCTGTAGTTTTGCTATGTAGATGAACAGAGGGATCTAGTACAGGAGAAGCATACAAAGAAACTAGGAAGACAAAATTGGTGTCATGGAAAGCTCTTCAAGAGTTTATCTTAAAAAGAAATAGGCAGTTGAGTCTGTAAGGAAGTCAAAAAAGGTAGTGGATTAATTAGGGTGACTAACTGCTATAATAGACCCCAGAATGTTTAATGGCTCAAACATGTTTTTTTACCCCTAATATGAAAAAGTACATATTAGGGGTAAAATATGTACTTTTTTACCCTGGTGGAGGCTAGCGAGAGATGGAATGTTAAGGAAGAGTTTTCATAAGAGGCCTGTTACCAGTGCAAATAGAATGTATACTATTTTTAACACTTAAATGGATTCCTGTCCTGGCCAGTTTGGCTTAGTGGTTGGAGCATTGGCCCGAGGACCAAAGAGTCACAGGTTTGATTTCCTGGCCTTGGTCGCAGTCGTGCAGGAGGCAACCAATCAATGTGTGTCTCTTACATCCATGTTTCTCTCTCTCCCTCTTCCTCTCCTCCCTCTCTGCCCCCCTCCCTATTTTTTCCTCCCTCCCTCTCCCTGTGCCTGTCCCTCTCTCCCTCCCTCCCACTCTATCTGAAAATCAATGGGAAAATACCCTCTGGTGAGGATTAAAAAAAAATAAATGGATTCCCAGGTTCACACGGTTAAAGTATAGATGTGTTGGTGACTATTAAGTAAAGACATGGTGTTATGTTGAACTTGGCAAAATAAGTGAGGTATAGTATTTTAGGTTTCCAAATTCCAGTTGTCTTAATCACTTTATTTATTTATTTTTCTTTATTGATTTTAGAGAGAGAGGAAGGGAGAGGGAGAGATAGAAACATCAGTGAGAGAGAACATCAATTGGCTGCCTCCTGCATGCCCTTGACTGGGGATTTGGCCCATAACCTGGGCATGTGCCCTGACCAGGAATCGAACTGGCAACCTCTTGGTGCATGGGTTGATGCTTATCCAGTGAGCCACACTGGCCAGGCATGTAGTCTATTTTTTTAATTGAGATATAGTTCAATACAAGAATTTCACCCTTTTAAAGTATACAATTCAGTGGTTTTTAGTATATTTACTAAAGTTGAACCATCACTAATTCCAGAACATTTTCATCACCCTAAAAAGATACCCTGTACCCATTAGTAGTCTCTCATTCCCATATCCCTCTCAGTCCCTGGTAACCACTAGTCTACTTTCTGTTCCTATGGATTTGCCTGTGCTGGACACTTTATATAAATACAATCTTATTATACGTGGCTTTTTATGTCTGGCTTCTTTCACTTAGCATAATGTTCAAGATTCATCCATGTTGTACAGTAGCACTGAATCCAGTTGAAGATGGTACCATTTCTAAGATCTTAAATTTACAAATTGATTTCTTTTACAGTAACTTTCCTATTTCACTTCTTTAAAAAAAAATTTTTTTTATTATTATTTTAGAGAGAGAGGAAGGGAGGAGAGAGAGAAATATCGTTTGGCTGCCTTCTGCATGCCCCCTACTGGGGATGGGGCCCACAACCTGGGCATGTGACCAGGAATTGAATTGGCAACCTCTTGGTGCATGGGTTGACACTCAACCACTGAGCCACACTGGCCAGGCCTATTTCACTTCTATTAAATTTATTCTTCATGCCTATATGACCTCTACTCCCTACTGCCTCTGTATTTTCAGTTTATTAGCTAACTTACATGACAATTTGTCTTTCTATCTAGCTGGAACCCATGGCAAGCCATTTCAGTGGTGCTTTCTTCATCATCCTCAATTTCTTAACTTCTTTGTATAATCTGCACTACAAATTCTCTAAGAGGTAGTTTACATACCCTCTATTTTCTCCATTCTTGTCCTTGGGGATGCCAAGTCCCATGAAACGGAGTCAGTTGGTTTCCAGTGGGCACATTTTACTATTTTTAATTCCTTTTACATCAAAATGACTTTTCTCATAACTATCTGTTTCAAGGAGTTTCTGCTCTCAAATGCTTAAGACTGAAACTCACCATGATCTGTTTGCAAAAATGAAGTTCTTTTACTGAGAAGATCTAGGCCAGCTCATATGCCCAACACTTTTCTCAGTTTTCTTTAAAACCCTTTACTTTAAAACTCTTCAATAAGCCCTTTTCATACTTTAATACCTTCTCTTTACTACCTGTCTTCATTTTTTTCATTAATTATTTCTTTTCTTGCCTCTTTAAAGCTTCTCTCTCCATTCTTTTCCCCCACAAAGATTTCCCTGTTTAAAAAGAAGAAATAAACAGCCTAATCCTGTATCTACATAGTGCTACCTCCTCTTTAGCAAACATGTAAATGATTTTACCTAGGATATGTAATTTTTTTTTTTTTTTTTTTTTTAGAGAGAGAGGAAGGGGGAGAGATAGAAATATTGATGTGAGAGAGAAACATTAATTGGCTGCCTCCTGCATGCCCTCTACTGGGTATTGAGCCCACAACCCAGGCATGTGCCCTGACCAGGAATTGAACCAGGATCTGTCAGTCCATTGGACAAAGCTCAATCCACTGAGCCACACCAGCCGGGCAAGGATGTATAATTCTTGAATTCCCCATCTCCTCAAACTCAATTTTTCTAAAAATTGTTTTTGTAAGTGCTACCTATTCACCAAATCTAGTATTTTTAGTTTTTAACCTTTTGGTTCCCTATGGGATGTAAGCTTCAGAGCCTCTTACTTGGAGGGGCCTTTAAAATATTTATGTTGAATGTTTTTGTAAAGTTGCAAACGCAAAATAATTTTGCATTCTTGCCAAGCTTCACGCCCCCAAAACCTGGATTTGCCACTTTGTAAAGGGGGATTTGCCCCTCATATCAAAGAAGTTCATCAGATTCTGTTATAGCCACAGGTAACAAAATTGGGCATGGCTCCCTCCAACTTAGTCATAGCAAAGGATAGAGCTAATTGCTATACTAAGACACATATCTTGGACTGACCAAAGAATTACATTATTTTCATACCTAGGTCCTGGGTCTTGTCCTCAATATAAATAGGTCCAGGAACTAGATTTAAAACTGTTTGAACAAGGTGATCAAGCACTGGAAGATTAATTCATGCTAACCAAACTCATAAAAGATTATAAACCAGAATATTTTTCTTAGTATACAAAAAGGAATTAATACCATAATATTGACTGTGGGTATAAATATCTGCTATCCAGAACACTCTTAACTGGATCAAGATAGAGACCAAATATGATTATAAAACGTTTAGTTTTCATGATTTAATGTGAAAATAACTGGGTGCCAAAGGCTTCCTTACTGCAGGGGTGTGGCCTAAACCCAAAATTTTTTGAAAATGAGGAAAACCCTGTTTCTTGTGTGACTTCAGCATGTGCATGATTCTGACCTACCAGTCTTGCCTGGTTATGTATGGATCGAGTTGGTCTGTGCCTTAAAGATCCCACCCCGCAAATGCACCCTTCTTGGCTGCCTTATGCCAGTATTGTGTAGTTCTCCAGCCATCCAAGCCTTTCCCCCCTTATTTCATCCATTATCTCCATTTCCCTCACTTTCAGTGCCTAGGCTATACTCAAGGTCCCTCCCAACGTCAGTTCTGTCGTCACCTACCTACTTCACCTTGCCTCACCTATTAGTCACCTCCTAGACTGACACCGTCATCCCCGACCTGGCACAGACTGGCCCCAACGCTCGCACCGAACCTTCCCGGGTGAGGGCTCAATGGGCTGCTCCCCGCCCCAGAGGGGGAAGCTGTGGGGAACACTTCGTGGAGCTCTTTGCATGTTCTCCCTTTCCAATTTTCTCCCAATTCTACAAATCACCACCACTTGTACCCTCTCTATGAGCACCAGAATCGTCTCTTGCCCTCATTTGCACGGAGAGGTCTCCCTGTGAAGGCGGAAAGGCGTCTCCTTACTTGAGAACGTAGGTGTGTCCAGATGCTGGCGCCTGCTCCTCAGTGAACAGAACCCGGGCGGAGCCCCAGGTGAAGGGAAGGGTGGTTGGCGCTAAGCCAATCATAGCTCATGACGACAGAGATCAGCCAATCAGAACATGGGATGCTTGGCGCAGGGTAAGGACCCGCCCCCTTGCAGCTGGGTGGCCAACGCCTTCGCCCAGGGCTAGCTGGAGCGGAGCAGGTTCCCAGAGTCCAGGTACTGGGCACCTTCCCAGCTGGGAGACGGTGCCCTCCCACCCCAGCTAATTTCCCTGCAGGCCTTGGCCTTAACAGGTGTCGGTGCCTGCTGTGGGCGCATTCTGACCTGGGCCCTATCCCTGGCGACTGTGCCTATGGTTGGGGACAGAGTGAGGTCGTTTCCTTGACGACGACAGCATGCAGCCAGTGGTCCTCCTGAGTAAGAGCTTGGGGCGGGCCGAGGCCACTCTGCCTCCCTGCGTGCTTCACCTGGGACCTGTGACTGTGTCCGCGCAAGGAATCCCGACAGCAGTGAAATTGCTAGCTTGGTAGTCAGCATCTTTTAGACCTGCGAGCGAAATGAATTTCACCTCAAATTTGTTTCCAAGTTGAAAACCTTTGGGACTTTCCACGTGAAAGGATATTAAAGAAGCAGTAAGTATAATACTTTTAAAGGCCTCTATTATCTCATTCTTTTATGTATAATAGGTTTCAATCTCTTTAATAAAATAAATTAGCATTATTTTTACCTAAATTGTTGGTGTTGGAACTATATGCTGACATGAAACATGTCCAGAAATACTGCACTGCCAGTCGGCAAGGCTTCGTTTGTATTACCCTTACATTCAGGAGTAGAAGGCATGAAAAGTTACAGTTTATGAGTAACTGTTTCAGAAAACAAGAGGTTTTTTAAGCTGTGATACTTTTAAGGTATGTGCAAGGCAGTGCCCCTTGAAAAATAGGTGTGCTCAATGTGCTGTGACCAAATGTGCAGTTGGCTGCAAGAATAAATTTGTAGTTAACTTACACAATGTTAGCTTAAGATATGTTTCAGAACATCTTAGATATACTTAAGGTAATTTTAATTGTGTTTACTTCGCATTTTCAAATATCGGGGACACCAGTTGCAAAATGTTTTTAAAACATGCAGGTTGTAGATTCCATCTATTTTTCTTCTTAACATGATAAACCTACAGTTTAGTCCTTGATAAAACATGTTGTCTTAGTGGAAGGAATAATAATTAAGGAGAAAAATTACATCGAAAAAAATTTTCAAACACTTTTTTTTGGAAAATAGCTAATAAACATTAAATCAAAGTTAAAATGTCAAATGTATGGAAAGTTAGTGTTGGGACATGGCTGTGTAAACAGTTTATAGTAGAACCTAGTATCAAAGCTGGTAGTAAAATAATAAAATAATTTGAATTGGTGTTGACTGGGATTTATTTTCATTCTTTCTTCACTCCCCACCCCCAGGATCAATTTTCATGTATATCTATGTAATAAGAGCCCTAAATTATCATATGTAAAATGTATTCATTGGACTCTCATAGTTTGCTAGAACAAAGAGGATATTTGTATTATCTTTGTCATCAGTGTACCAACCAGGAAGCAAGTAAAAGCATCACAATTCACAATCTGAGCAAATTAGTTTGAGATTGTGTAATAGATGAGAATATTTTTCTCCCATGTTTTATTAAAGAGTGTTTTTATATTGACAGATTTAAAAATTTTAATCACTGGGCCTGGCTGGTGTGGCTCAGTGAATTGAGCATCACCCCTAGGACTGATAAGTCCCTCTTCGATTTCTTGGCAGGGCACATGCCCAGGTTGTGGGCCAAATCCTCAGTCGGAAGGGCATGCTGGAGGCGGCCAATCAATGTTTTCTCTCATCAATGTTTCTATCTCTCACTCCCTGTCCCTTCCTCTCTCTCTAAAGATCAATAAAGAAGAAAAAAAATTAACTATGAATCATCACTTGAATATATAGTTACCTAAAGATATTTCTTTCTCTTCAAACTTTTAGAACCATATTGGGATTAAGATTAATATTTTTTATTTTTGTTTCTAGAATTAAATTTCAACACCAAATTTAAAAAATAAATTTAACTTTGAAATTGCCAATGAAAATTTATGAATTAAAATCTATCTGTATTTGAACTGAAAAGTTTTTTTTTCTGTACCAAAATATGTAGTGGAATGATCATTGAACCTTCATCAATCATTAGTAAAGTAAAAAAGATTTTATTAGGATTGTCTTTATCCAAAAAATGACACATAATGGGAATATAAAAGAATTCTAAACACAAAATTAAAATGATCATTCTCACAGTGAGTAATCATTAAAATGATTTTTAAAACATTGTATTTAGTACTACTGCTATTTAATTTCTAAGTATCTGCCTATATACTGTGATGTCATTGCTATTATTTTGTAAGTTTGATATAGCAATTTAATTACTATAGTAATAAAAATAAATAAAAATAGTTTATCAAAGATTCTTAGTGTTCACTTGGTAAGTGATCATTTTGTGAACAATATTTTTCCCAGTTGAATAGAGTGTATAAAGATTTCCAATTTTGATCTTTTAATCCTGACGTAAAAAAACTAACCATTGATCTTCACTAACACCAAATTCACTTGCACCTTTTTCACCTTTGTGTAAAAAAGAATCATATTTTTCTAAAGTGAGCTGTAATTGTTTTGTACAATAGTTCAAGTGTTCCTTTATCTGAATTAAACATATATTGAATTTCATCAACATGACATTTAGTAATTTAAATTTAAAGTTAATGGCTTCAGTTATGTTTGTGTTGTCTATTATGAAATGTATATGAATGTTTTGAAAACATAGCTTAGAATTGGAAACAATAAGAATTTGTAAATCAGCAAAGGAGAACCATCAGCACAGTGACTGCTTTAATATGGAAAACAAGTGGGGAAGGATTAATTTGCTGGGAAGATGGAGAAAATAAATATACTTAACATTATTAACTATGTTTTGGTTTCTATAGCAAGAAAAAAATCCTCCTGGTTTTGAATTAAAATGGAAAAATATGAGAACCTAGGATTGGTTGGAGAAGGGAGCTATGGAATGGTGATGAAGTGTAGGAATAAAGATAGTGGAAGAATTGTAGCCATCAAGAAGTTCTTAGAAAGTGATGATGACAAAATGGTTAAAAAAATTGCTATGCGAGAAATCAAGTTACTAAAGGTGAGTAAATATATGTGCATTTTGTTTAAAAAATAAGTTGTTTCTTGATCAAAATTACATTTTTTGGGAAAAATTACTGTTTTTATATTTGTTTTATTTATAACAAGGTTTAAAGTATAAATTTCTTCTTTTTTGGCAATAAACAAAATGATTACATATCCATAATCATTTATGACATGATTTACAAAGTATTCGTTGCTTCTGTCTATATCTGCCTATCTGTGTACCTACCAATCATCTACTGGGGTTGTCCCAAAGACCACCCCAAGGTTCAATGATTTACTAGGAGAACTCATGGCACTCAGCAATAGTTGTGCTTATAGCTATGATTTATTACAGTGAAAGAATATAAAGCATCCGGCCGGTGTGGCTCAGTGGTTGAGCATTGATCCACGCACCAAGAGGTCACCGGTTCAATTCTCATCAGAACACATGCCTAGCTTGTGGGCCAGATCCGGGTGGGGGGGGGGGGGCATGCAGGAGGCGGCCAATCAATGTTCTCTCTCATCGATGTTTCTATCTTTTTCTCCCTCTCACTTTCTCTCTCCAATCAATAAAGAAAAATAAAATAATAATAATAATAAAGAATATAAAGCAAACTCAGCAAAGGGGAAAGGCACATGGCATAATTCCAGAGGAAACCTGTTACAGGCTTCCAAGAATCCTCTTCTAATGGAGTCACACAGGACACACTTATTTCCTCCAGCAATGAATGGTGAAATATTGTCTACCAAGGAAATTCATTAGAGACTCAGTGTGCAGAGTTTTTATTGGTGGCTGATATGTAGTCACCTCTGCCTGGCTCCTACCAAAATTCCAGACTCCCAGAAGGAATGCAGATATTCAACATAAGCAATATTGTTTGCACAGTGAGCCATTTTTATCAGTTTTGGAAGTGAAGGCAACCCCCCTGAAATCTAAGTTCCCAGGTAACAGCCAAGGACTCACTTTGCAAGCAGACCTATCTAAGGATAGCAGTTTCAGGCCTGCTATGTTATCGCTCTCTTTTTAAATCAGGCTCATGAGAAGTTTATCAACTCTATCTTTAGAAAGAACCAATGTTTAGCTGTGTTGACCCTCTCTATCATGTATTTTTCTTCTATTTTATTAATTTTTGTTCTTTGGTATTTCATCCCTTCTACTTATTTTGGATGGATTTATTTTGTAGTTCTTTTCTCTAACCTGTTGAGACAGGTGCTTATTTCTTTCATTTCCAGCCTTTCCCTCCTCATTTATGCATTTAAGGCTATACATTCCCTCTCAGAACAGTTTGTTATGTATTGCAGAAATTTTAACTAGCAGTTCAAAATATTTTCTTATTCCCAAACATGAAGACTTTCTAGATTTTCCTCCTCTGGTTTTTTTCTTTTGACACAATTGACCTGTGAACTAAGAATATACTATATACGATTTTATTCCTTTGAAATTTCTTGATACATGCTTTTTGGTTCAGAATATAGTAAACAAACAAACAAAAAAATCTCATGCACTTGAAAAGTATTCCATTAAGTTAGCTTTGTTACTTGCATTTATCAAATATTTTAAATTCTCACTAATTGGGTTATTATTTTTTTCTTTATTGATTTTAGAGAGAGAGGAAGGGAGAGGGAGAGATAGAAACATCAATGAGAGAGAACATCGATTGGCCGCCTCCTGCATGCCCTCCACTGGGGATCAGGCCCACAACCTGGGCATGTGTCTTGCCCGGGAATCAAACCAGTGACCTCTTGGTACATGGGTCAACGCTCAACCACTGAGCCACACCGGCCAGACTCACCAATTGTTTTTGTTGTGTGTGTGCTTATTCTATCCAGTACTGAGAAGACATATGTTAAAATCTTCCTCGGTGATTATTGATTTGTCCCTTTTTCATTGTAATTGAGTTAAGGTTCAACTTTATAAAAGGAAAGACCATATTATTAGTATATTATATTTAGAATTATTATATCTTCATGCCGAATCAAATCTTTCATCATCTTGAAATAATTATTTTATTATAGTATGTTTTTTCTTAAAGTCTATTTTGTCTGAAACTAATAAGGCTACACTAGTTTAATTTTGGTTGGTGTTTGCATTGTATACCTTATTTTTTTATCCTCACCCGAGGACATTTTTGCATTTATCTTCAGATAGTGCTGGAGGGAGAGAGGGGAGGAAGAGAGAGAGAGAAATATCAATGTGAGAGAGGCACATCAACTGGTTGCCACCCACACAACCCCAACCGGGGCTGGGGACAAACTGCAACCTAGGTATGTGCCCTTAGCGGGAACTGAACCCCGGACTCTCCCGTCCGTGGGCTGACTCTCTAACTGCAGAGCCAAATCGGCCAGGGCTATCTTTTTAGTTTAAATTTTTCTCAAGGCTTGTTTAGATGTGTCTCTTGTAAACATATTGCTTTTTATCCTTTTTGACAACCTACATTTTAATTGGAACAATTACTCCATCTACATGTAATGTAGCTTCTGATATATTTAGGTAGAAATCTACCATCTTAATATATGCAATTTGTCTCATTGGTTCTGTATTTCTTTTCTTTTCTTTTTCCTTTATGCCTTTGGATTGATTACATTTATCATTCCATTATTTTGTTCAAATACTTAGACAATTATATATTGTTTCTACTTTTTTGTGGTTACATTAGACATTTGTTAAAGTCTACCAGTATCCAGTACTTTTATCCTTCCTCTAAACCTTGCAATACTTATCTTTGGTTATTCCTTTTATCTTTTACACTAACTTTGTCATAGATTAACCCTTATATATATTCAAACACCATAAGACATATTTATTTTTAAGTGTTTATTTAGGTTTTGGTTTTTTTTTTTTTTTCCAACATATTTTTTGTTCTTCCTTCCTTTCTGCATCTAAGATTTTTATCTGTGATCTCCTCCCTTCTTGTTTATAATTTCCTTTTGTGAGGATCTACTGTAGAGAAAACATTTCAATTTTAGTCTGCAAGAAAATGTCTTTATTATTATTCATGAACGCTATTTTTGCTGTGTATGGAATTTTAGGTTGACAATTGTTTTCTTTTAACAAAATGAAAATAACATTGTTTTGTCCTCTGGCTTCCATTGTGGCTCTTGAGAATTCAGTTGTCAGTCCAATTGTTGCTCTTTTGTAAGTTTGTTCTTTTATGTCTGGATCTTTTTTTTTCTTCTTTCAACTTTTTATTCACATATACATGTAGAAAAGTATACATATCATAAGAATATATCTCTATGTATTAAAAAATAATTGAACAAACCCATGTAACTTCCATCCAAATCAAGAAAGAGAATATTAATCCCCCCCCTCCCCATGCCTTCTCCAGTCTCTACTGCCTTCCTCCTCCACTCAGGTCACAACTATTCTGATTGTAATCAGCGTAAGTTAGTTTTGTTTTCTGGAACCTTGTTCTCATTATATCAAAGAAGGTTTGGGTAGTTTTGTTTTGTTTCTTTCTTTTCAGAGTATGTCACCAAATTTGGAGAACTCTGCTCTGCTAGCTTTGTGGCCACAGATGATTTCTTGGTATCTTCCTACTCTCCTATTTGACCTTGACTCATTTGTTGTGGGTAGGGGTCATAGATCCTACTTAGTTCCATCAAACATGGAGCTACATTTCTTTTTCTCATTGGCTTTATTGTGTTCTCTGAGAGGACATTAGAGCAATGTGGTCTTTTAACTATAATTTAAAAATCAGAATATACATTTTTAATTCATATTGTTCATGCATTTTATTTATATACCTTTCTTATGCTGAAATCTATTTTAGATTGTCACTAATTGCTAATCATTTGATCTTGTAAAAACTATTTTGTGTTTTTTTATAACAGCAACTGAGGCATGAAAATCTGGTGAATCTGTTGGAGGTGTGTAAGAAAAAAAAACGATGGTACTTAGTCTTTGAGTTTGTTGACCATACCATTCTTGATGACTTGGAACTCTTTCCAAATGGACTGGACTACCAACTAGTTCAAAAGTATTTGTTTCAGATTATTAATGGAATTGGATTTTGTCATAGTCACAATGTAAGTATTTAGTTTAAATAATTATTTTGCCAATGATTGACTCTCCAGATACCAGTCATTTAATTTAATGGGATACTTATTTAAAGTTTGGACCAGTAAAGTCATGGAAATGATCTGTTACTTTGATATTGACACTTTCATGTTTCACATTGCATGTATTCTTTTCCCCAACATTTTATTATGAAAAGTTTAGGCCATACTGAAAAGTTGAAAGAATGTGCCAAGAACACCCATATACCTACTACTTGGATTTTATACTTGTTAATATTTTGCTGTACTTCTTAATGATGTATTTATTTATCTATTCATATACTTATCTATCTATTAATGTCTTATTTATGCATTCATAAACAAATTATAGATATCTGTCCACTTCAACTCTAAATACTTCAGCTATACATATTAACTAGAGCTTAATATTTCTTTGCTTTTTTTGAGGTGACATTTACTGAGTGAAATGCACACATTTTAAGTGATGAGTTTTGACAAATACCTATATCCAAGGATCCATGTATAGGCTAATTCAAATTCTCTTGCTGAGTTGTGAAGTATGAAAATCCTGTTCTTCCCCTATAGTCTATTACAATAATTTTATATCCTTTGTGTGTCATATAAAAGCACCACTAGCCCTGGCTGAGTGGCTCCATTGGTTGGAGTGTCATCTGTACACCAAAAGGTTGCATGTTTGATTCCTGGTCAGAGCACATACCTAGGTTGTGGGTTCCATCCCCAGTCAGGGCATGTACGGGAGGCAGGCAACCAATCGATGTTTCTCTTTCTCTCTCTCTTCTTTCTTCTCCCTCTAAAATCAATTAACATATCTTTGGGGGAGGATTTTAAAAAGTGTACCTTTTGGTAAAATGACACAAAGTACAACATAAATAAGTCAACACATTTATTCTTCCACTTTTACATAATATTTTAAATGACATTTTTGTGTGTGATTATAAGAGTAATAGATGATAACGGTAGATGTGGGGCTGGCCCTGTGAGCTCACCACGATGTAATAGAAGTTGGTAGCCTATGTAAAGTGCTCAGCAATGACAGATTTCCCTTTAGAAAGCTGGTCCTTTGAAAGAGTTTAAATATATAAATTTACAATTTTTTTTTTCCAAATATAGTTTACTCGTGTTAGAGAATTAGGTCTAATATTTTGTTTTTCCTAGCTGTAGAATTTGTAGTATTGTTTTCCAGTGTTCATACTTTTTTCTTTACAAATTTTAACAACTGACCTTGTTGACCCTCTTTACATTTCTAATTGTCTGAATAAATGCTTCCTCTTGGGTGTTCCACAATCCACATCAAAGCCCCCCCTAGCTAAAACTAAACTACTAATTATTCCATCAAAACTAACATTTTCTAGACTGAGTTTTTGGTAATGAATCCACGTTCTTTTAGATTCCCAGGTTTCAATAAAATATCTGAGATTACTTCCTAATCTCTATTGATGCTTGATTTAAACTATTTCTAAACTATGTCTCCTCCTTTCCATTTTCCTGAGCGTAAGCCTAGTGTAGGCCCTTATTACCTCAAAGGTTGCTCTTTTCCCTGCCTCTAGACCCTCTCTCTGATTTAGCTTGTTTATGGCCAACATCTTTAAACACCATGTGGATCATGCCGCTTCCATGGTTCCCATGCCCTTGACAGAAGCTCAGACTTCTCAGGCTTGCTGTCGAGACAAGTTTCCTCCCTAGTATATAACCTCCACTCTAGAGTAACATTTCTCTACAGTCTCCTAATCTATTTGTATCTTCATTATTTTGCTCTCTTTGTTGCCTTTACTTGGATTGCCCTTTCGTTTCTACATTTATCCAGGTCATACTTATAAAGACCTATCTTAGAGCCTACCCCTTTCATAAAATTTTTCCTTGACCAACCAGTCTTCAATTATAGCTTTTCTCTTACTCTTGAGAGCAGTGAGTAACAGAACAATTGATTTGGTAATTAATAATAATAATTATATCTATATCTATAAATCTAGTATCTTTGATTATTTATATAAATTTTTTTATTTATATAAAATTTTAAGCATTAATGTTATTTCTTGTCCAACTAGATTTCAGGTTCTTTAAAGACAGGAATAATTTTATATACTTCTATTTCTATTCACTATTCATTGGGATTATTTATTTATTTTTTATCCTCACCCGAGGACATTTTTCCACTTTTTGTCCAGGCAGAGTAGGAGTGAGAGAGAGGAACAGAGAGAGAGAGAAACATCGATGTGAAGGGACACATCGAGCGGCTGCCACCCGCACGACTGACCAGAGCCGGGGACAAACTGCAACCAAGGTACATGCCCTTAGTGGGAACCGAACCCGGGTCTCTCCGGACCGCAGGCCCACGCTCTAACCGCTGAGCCAAACCGGCCAGAGCTATTCATTGGGATTAAAACAGTGCCCTACACGTGGCAGGTGCTCAAAAAATAATTAATCTGCTTAACTTGATGTGCCATTATATGTCATTCTCTCTCTCTTTTTAATTTTAGATCATACATAGAGATATCAAGCCAGAGAATATATTAGTCTCCCAGTCTGGTGTTGTTAAGTTATGTGATTTTGGATTTGCGCGGACATTGGCAGCTCCTGGGGAAGTTTATACTGATTATGTGGCAACCCGATGGTACAGAGCTCCAGAACTATTGGTTGGTGATGTCAAGTATGGCAAGTAAGACATCACGGTGGTGGTGGTGGGGTTAATATGTTTCTAATGTAATAAAAGACTAACACTGAGAGAAAGTTTTGAATTTAGGTAACTTTATAAAGTGATTTGTAATTTTTGGTGCTTCCCTTTAAATATTTTATAATATAGCTATGACACTGAGCCATTTCAAGGTAGTTGTCCCTATGTTAATAATGCCAGCATATTCTTTAAGTTCTTGCAATTGATTTTATTTATTTATTTTTAATTTTTAATATTTTAATTGATTTATTTTTTGTTACTGATGTTTCTCCTTTCCCCCCCATTGACACCTTTCTCCCGATCCCCCCACCCCCCACCCCATCCCCAGCATTGTTGTCTATGTCCATGGTTATGCATACATGCATATAAGTTCTGTGGTTTATCTCTTCCCTCCCCCACGACCCCCTCTTCTGAGGTTTGTCAGTCTAAACCTTACTTCTATATCTCTGGATCTATTTTGTTCATCAGTTTGTTTTGTTCATTATATTCCACAAATAAGTGAGATCATATGGTTTTTGTCTTTCTCTGATTGGCTTATTTCGCTTAGCATAATACTCTCCAGGTCTCTCCATGTTGTCTCAAAGGACAAGAGATCTTTCTTTCTTACAGCTGCATAGTAGTCCATTGTGTATATGTACCACAGCTTTTTTATCCACCCATTTATTGATGGACACTTGGGCTGTTTCCTGATCTTAGCTATTGTAAATCGTGCTGCTATGAACATAAGGTTACATATATTCTTTTTGATTGGTGTTTCAGATTTCTTAGGGTATATTCCTAGAAGTGGAATCATTGGGTCAAATGGCAGTTCAATATTTAATTTTTTGAGGAAACACCATAGTGTTTTCCATAGTGGCTGCACCAGTCTGCATTCCCACCAGCAGTGTACTAGAGTCCCTTTTTCTCGGCACCCTGGCCAGCACTTGTTGTTTGATGATTTGTTGATGGCAGCCATTCTGACAGGTGTGAGGTGATACCTCATTGTTGTTTTAATTTGCATCTCTCTGATGATTAGTGACGTTGAACATTTTTCATGTCTCTTGGCCATTTGTATGTCCTGTTCAGAAAGGTGTCTTTTTAGGTCCTCTGTCTTGTGCCAATTTTAAAGACAGTTTCTGTTTGTTTTTTCTCTATTAGCTTTCAATTTTCCTTCTTGCTACTATATGTGTCCCTAACCCACCTCCATCTGGCAGTTTTCAGTGTATGGTGGGATAGCCTGATTTAAGTTATTAGAATTATGTTTAAACAAAGAATGAATAGGCTCTAAATGGAAACCCAAAAGGCTTATTTTTCAGAATATAGTACACATAACTGTTTTGATTTTTTTTTTAATTTATTTTTTTAATTCTTACCGGAGGACATGCTTAGAGAGAGGAAGGAGGAGAGAAGGGGAGAGAGAGAGAGAGAGAGAGAGAGAGAGAGATTGCGAGAGCGAGCAGTGTAAGAGAGAAACATTGATCAGTTGCCTTCCTTCCCAACCTGGGATCAAACCTGCAACCCAGGTATGCGTGTCCTGACCAAGAATCGAACTGGCAACCTTTTGGTGCACAGGATGACATTCAACCAAATGAGCCACTCTGGCTGGGCTGTTTTGACTTTTAGAAGCCGTTTCCTTCTCTGTCACATGATTGAAGTTTCTGAAAATATGACTTACATAAAATTAGAAATTAGTATTTTAAGTATTTAAGAAAATGTGTTTTTATAGGTAATTTAAGGCTTGCTACTACTATTCTTAATATCTAGAATACTCAGTAGTAATATGCACAGCAGATTTAGTCACGGTAAATGTATTAGGTTGCCTGATTGTACACCACATTGCTTTTCTTTCAGGGCTGTTGATGTGTGGGCCATTGGCTGTCTGGTAACTGAAATGCTCATGGGGGAACCCCTCTTTCCTGGAGATTCTGATATTGATCAGCTATATCATATTATGATGTGTTTAGGTAAGGTTATATACACCTGCATTTTACATTTTAGAGGTTTTTTTCCTGCGGTTTTTCTTTTTTCTGTTGATTTTACAAGGTGGGGAGCAAATGGAAAAACTTCATATGTTTATTCATTCATTCTTAGTCTGACATATGGCCTTAATCATGCTCTCACTCCACCTACTGCCCCACTTCCTCCTCAAGTAAAGAGCAAAGGTTATGCATATTTCTCTGTATTTTTGTATTCAATAAGTCACACATAGGGAGGATGTAAATGATCATTTATTACCTGTGGGTCAACAAGCATTTAGTGTGTAATATGATGGTACCCTCATCCTCACCTTCTAATTGAGAGGCACAGAGACTTCCAAGGTAGTTTAATCTTGCTGCAGGTATGACTTTTGTTGTAAGTGCTTTGGATGGAGTGTCAAAGCTAGATAATCACAGTATTCTTACATTTGTTGAAATATCAACTCCATGTTGAGAGATAGAGCTTGGAAAATCAAAATAATAGCAAAATACTTGGGGGCGATTTAACTATTATGGAGTGTCAAAGCTAGAATGTATCAAAGTATTCTTGCATATGTTGAAATATCAGGTTCATGTTAGGAGCTAGAGCTTGGAATATAGAAATAATGGTGAAATACTTGGTTTGGTGATGTCAGGTATGACAAATAAGACATCATGGTGGTGGGGGGTTATTTAACTATTGGATTTTAAGTTTCCATGTTAGAAATTCAAAAAACAGTATAGTGGTTTCATATATATTTTATGCTCAAATAGGTATTGAAGTTGAGAAAAAAGATGAAAGTGTTCAAATCAAACCTTAGACATAGTTACAAAATCAGTTGAATTCTTAAATGGTAAGACTGATTTATCTAGATTAGATTCTGACCATATGACTATTAGTATTGTTATTGTTTTAGTCAGTACTTTCATGTGTTAGAAATGAAGTGCTGGTATTTTTATTTTAAAATTATAAAATGCTTTACCTCTCCTGTTCCAATGCTCCCTCATGTCTTCAGATCTCTGTTTACTGGCATGTGAACTTTTCTAAGTGAGTATATTGAGATAAAAATGTTCATTTCCTTGAGTTGACTTATGTCAAAACCACTATAAAGACTGCCACACTGGAGCACTGTCTTTGGTTGATTTTGCTGAGAGGGCCCCGGCTCCATGAGCTGTGTTCCACTCTTTTCTCTATACCACATCTCTTGTCGCTTTGCCCTTTTCTCCTGACACATGACAGAGATGTGTGCTATTCTCGCCTCCAGGAAATCTCATTCCAAGACATCAGGAGCTGTTTTATAAAAATCCCGCATTTGCTGGAGTAAGGCTGCCTGAAATCAAGGAAATGGAACCTCTTGAAAGACGCTATCCCAAGCTCTCTAAAGTTGTGATAGATTTAGCGAAGGTAACCATACTTTCCTTTCACGTTCTGACAGGGAATTTATATTACAGAGGCTTAGCTTTTTCTTGTTTAGTTGATCATTTAGGTCAACAATTTCCTGTGTGTGTGTGTGGGTGGGGGGGTGGATCTTCAGAGATAAAGACCTGAAAATTTCACCTAAGAAATCCTTTAGTGTTATTTAGCATGTTTTAAGTGTGAAAACATCCTCATATCAATGTTTTTTAGTGTTTAACATTTAAAATGCAAACCTTGTTTAAGTAGAAAAGAGAAGAAAAGTAGGGTAAGAAAATAAAAAGAAGGGTAGAGTAGCAGGAAAATTAATTAAAATATAAGGCATAGGATCATGACCTGTGGTGTATTGTTAAACTGATTAAGAGCAGATAATATGCTTGATCATTGCCAAAGGTCTAGAAGTGATCTGTGGTGTAATGTTAAAGGGGCTTTTGCTTAACTACTGGATCCACTGAAGCTAATTTATAAATCATCATTACCCTTGCCTTGTGTTTGATTGAATAAAATATTAGGGAGAATCTCAATGGATCAAATTGTTTCTAAAAGTGGACATTGTGGAATTATTAGCTCAAAAAATTCTTCTTGGTTTGAATTGTACTAAAGTGTTGATAAAATAAGTATCTCTAAGACACCAGGATCACATAATAACATTTATCCAAGATATTTTTTGCTTTTTTAGTTTTCTATATAACTTATTAAAAAAGTTTAGTGAGCTTATATAACTAGTTATAAGTTCTTAGAATAATACATTTTTACTTTTCTACATAATCTTTTTAAAAAAGTTTTTTTTCTTTATTGATTTTAGAGAGAGAGAGAGAGAGGAAGGGAGAAGAAGAGGGAGAGGGAGAGAGAGATAGAAACTTCTATGAGGGAGAACATGGACTGGCTGCTTCCTGCATACTCTACACTGGGGATCCGGCCCACAACCTGGGCGCATACCCTGACTGGGAATCGAACCGGCGACATCTTGGTGCATGGGTCGATGCTCAACCACTGAGTCACACCAGCCAGGCCTACATCATCTGCTAACACATGCAAATATTTTTCATTGAGACCTTCTTTATGATCTGTCTATGATTTAAAGGAAATATAAATAAAATTATTATTTAACTCATATCTCTTATAGTAGAATCATGTAACTTTTAAAACATTTCATTATAGAAATTTTCAAACAGAAAAGAAAGTAGAAAGAATAGCAATATACTTGTCATCTAGTTTCAACAATTTAACAATCTCAAGACAATCTTTTGTCATTTATCTACATATACCCTCCTCACCTTTTTTTTTGGAGCATTTTGAAGCAAATCCCAGATATTATATTTTTTCACCTATAAATACCTTAATTGTATATAAAACTTTTCTTGTTCATTTATAACTCCTTATTGAGCCTCCTTTTATTTTTATTGCCATTGAGTAATTTCAATTAATCAGAACAAGACCTGTATTACAATAAAATCATCTATGTAAAGTATCTAGCACAATAATAGGCACAGAGCAGGTCCTTTCCCTTCCATTCTGCAAGGGCTTTACATTTAAAAATTTCACCATCATTAAAACATCTAATCAACGCTCAAAGTTTTATTGATTTTCTCCTTATTTCTTTTTACAGTTTAAATTAACATTCACATAAAGTCTACATATCAAGCAATTAGTTGAATAATTTTAAGATTAATTTACAAGCTCATCTTCACCTCTTTTTTTGTTTGTTTTTTTAAACCTAGCCATTTATCTATTGAAGGAACTAGGTTGTTTGTCCCTTGGAATTTCCCACATTGTATAGTTTAATATGTTCCTCTCTGTCCTTCTTATAAATTCAGAGTAGAGTCAGAGCTTGATCAGGTCTTTCTTTTTGTGATGTTAGCAACCATTGATGGTCATTGTCTAGATTTGAGCTTTATTCTTTATCATTTATTATAGATGTTTAAAATTCATGGACTATAAAAATGTATTTTCTATATTTAAAAATTTAAATGTAAGCATTTTTAAAAAATGTGCTGTATCTATTTTTTGGTTTTCCAGAAATGCTTACATATTGATCCAGACAAAAGGCCCTTCTGTGCTGAGCTCCTGCACCATGATTTCTTTTGTGTGGATGGATTTGCTGAGAGGTATAGTACTGACTCATGTTTTCCAGGTCACCCCAACCTAGAGTTGAAATAAGGTCTCCATAACAGTAATAGACAGCATTTCTCTACCCAGCTACTTTTATAGGATCTCAAATATTTACCACCCTACCCTCATTCATCCTTAGCAACCATGGAATTTGTAGGAGTGGTCCCTTGTACTCACTTAGGGCTCTTGGTTTTCACGAAGCAGTCACTTCCTGTTTTTCTTTGTCTCCCTGTGGTGGCATGTACCACTCAGGTCACTGATTTCTATGTTGCTACCAGCTGTATGATGCCATCATATTGGGTGCTGATGCATTTGCAAAGGTGCCATTTCCTGTTGTTGCCAAACTCATACCACACCCAGTCCTATGACCCTGTTGACACTGCTGATATGCTGGAGTCCTTGGTGTGCCAAACCTGTGGGTGCCAGAGTCGTTGGCATGTTCTCGTGCTGTTAGAGCTGCTGGCATCAGTGTGGCTGAGAAAGCAAAAAAGTAGTGAGATGAGTGGTAATAACATTGCTTTATATTTTTACAAGTCTACTTAATATCTAGCTTAGTAAAATATACCTGGGTTCTCATATTTGCTTCTATATTCAATTAGTTGTGATATGTTGTGTTGTTTGAAATATATGAAGAAACTCTGACCTCATACAAACATGTTGGAAAATTAAGGAGTGTTTTAATAGCCTTTTATTTAGATAATTGTGGGCATTCTTTCATTCTATACCAAAAACTCTGATGCTATACTAAAACTTGACAGTGGTAGTTTCTTAAATGTTGGTTGTGGAATCTGAAACCATATCAATAAGTTTTCTTACCGTTACATTAAAATCCATCTTGAACTTTGAGTAGATCTTCACAGATCTTTTGTAATATCATATATTAGTCATTTGGAAAATATTGTTTTGCCCTGGCCGGTTTGGCTCAGCGGTTAGAGCATCGGCCTGCGGTCCTGAGAGACCCGGGTTCGGTTCCCGCTAAGGGCATGTACCTCGGTTGCAGTTTGTCCCCGGCCCTGGTTGGTCGTGCGGGTGGCAGCCACTCGATGTGCCTCTTTCATGTCGATGTTTCTCTCTCTCTCTCTCTCTTCCTCTCTCTCCCTCCCACTCTATCTGTGCAAAAAAAAAAAAAAGAAAGAAAGAAAATATTGTTTTGCTGTTAAATGCAGATTTTTAAAATGTTGACATTTCAATGTATAATATCAAAAAGTCACATTCTACGTCATCAGAAGAGACTTTAAATATTGGGATCTGCTAAGCTTATAGTAGTAGATACAAGTTTAACAGAATTCTAATTTTGCATAAAATTTTGAATTTTATTGACACAAATACTCGCAGTTGTTTTCCTTGAAGTGACAAGCTCCTTTGTTCATTTTTAAAAAGAAAATGTCTGCCAAACACCCCGACTGAATAACAGTAGTTTTTCTGTCAGTTTTTCAAGTAAAAATGTTGTCCCATGAAAAGGGTGGATGGTTTAGCTTGTGTCTCAGTCACACTGCGTTTCTTAGGACAGCCACCACCCTTCAGCATGCAGCACGGGTGCTTTGGGCATATTCCCGTTTTGTCACACAGACTATGAAAGAGCACCCATGTCCAAGGGTTTAGATTTAATGCATTTTTATTGCTTTATCTGAGCCATCCTTAAGGAAAACTCTTTTTGTTTTTTAACTGCAAATGTGTGGCTACAAAGAATACAGTGACAGCTAGTGCAGTTCGGTGCCAGCAGTTTTACCCACCACTGCTTTTAGATCGTCGGTGTGGATGTTAATAAGATGAAAGGGAAGTAATTTTCACCTTAAGATAAGAATAGCTTAGGCCTTTTGAACCTCCTGAAAGGTTCTTAGTGATTCCCAGGGGTATACGGACTACATTTTGAGAACTGCTAATCTCGGCCATAATTTTTCTCATTTTAAGTAACACAGTCTAGTTTAACACTCAATTTTAAAAAATAAATATCTTGAAAACCAATGTTTTCCTTGATTTATCTGCATCACACAATTTTATTTTATTGACAAATGTATTTTTGTATAGGTTTTCTCAGGAACTACAGTTAAAAATACAGAAAGATGCCAGGAATATTTCTTTATCTAAAAAATCCCAAACCAGAAAGAAGGAAAAGGAAAAAGATGACTTCTTGGGTGAGGAGAGAAACACTCTTGTGGTACAGGTAAATGTTCATTTTTAATGTATACTGAATTTAAAATTTAATATGTCCTTAAGTTTTTGGAGGGGAAAAAAAATGAAAATTAAAAAAGTTTTTCGTAGTGATGAACAAGTTAACTTTTAGCTTCTTTGTAAAAATGTATCTTCATTATAGATATTACCTATTTAAAAAATCTTAAAGGTGGGGACAGGGTGGGGAGGGTGGGGGAAGGGGGAATCAGTGGGGGAAAAGGAGAAACATCTGTAACAAAAATAAATAAATTAATTAAAAGATAATAAATAAATAAATACATAAAAAATCTTAACATATCATGTAGTGCGTGCCTACTGTGTACCAGACTGTGAAATAGGGCTTGTCAGGAAATCACACTCATCCAAGAACGTTTAGACACACATGTGCTAATTCATATACAAATACATAGACACAAACACATATGCACACCATTTTTTCCCCTTAAATGATAGGAGAGAAAATATTATTTTTAGAATTTTATATAAAGTAGGGTATTTTACTTATTTATTTTTGGGGGAGAATCTTTTATTTTAAATCCTTGCTCCAGGTTATTTTTTCATTTATTTTCAGATAGAGTGTGTGTGTGTGTGTGTGTGTGTGTGTGTGTGTGTGTGTGTGTAGAGAGAGAGAAAGTGAGAGAGGGGGGGAGAGAGAGAGAAAGAAAAAGAGAAAGAGAGAGAGAGAGAGAGAAACACACCAATTGGTTGCCTCCTGCATGACCCTGAACAGGTTCAGGGACTGAACCGTTAGCAAGGTATGTGCCCTTGACTGGAATCAAACCCACAACTGTGGGTTGATGCACTAACCTCTGAACCAAGCCAGCCAGGGCTCAAGTAGGGCATTTTAAAATTGAGATTTGGGTATTGAATTTATTTGAAGTTTACTTTTCTTTGTATGTTATCCAGAATTGGTTCTTGGTAAGGTAATTCAAATGTACCACCAACCTACTCCCGTTTTCTTAAGTAAACCAAAAGAGACTTGCAGTTTTGTGTTACTTGACTCTAACTATAGAAGAACAAAGGTGGACATGCTTGATTCCTTCTCCATGTTTTTCCCTACTGAAATATGTATGAATTAGATATATATACTGTGCACATCTGATGTGTAGAGGGTGGGACAAAAGTAGGTTTGCAGGTGTAATTATGTGAAACACAGAGTTTATTCTTATATTATTATTTATTAGTTACTGTATTATTTTCCATACAAACAACTGTAAACATACTTTTGCCCTAACCTGTACACATCAGAGCTAGTGTGAATTGCATTTCCATTCATAATAAATGTCAGACCAAGAATCTTCAGTTAAATTTAAATCCATAGCTAAAAGGAAGAAAAAGAAAAAGATGGTGTCTGTGGAAATTTGCTTTAGTTGACAAGTACTTTATAGGTAGAAGCGATTTTTCATTCCCCTCAGAGCATTAATGTTATTAACATGTTTATTGTTGGTCAGGATTCCAATGCTGATCCCAAAATTAAGGATTCTAGAGTATTTAAAATAAAAGGGTCAAAAATTGATGGAGAAAAAGTTGAAAAAATCAGTCGAGCTTCAAATGCCAGCTGTCTCCATGACAATGGAACCGGCCACATCAAAACAGTGCCTTCAACAAGCCTCAGAGATGGCAGCAGCGGCGGGGTGGACCACAGGCGGAATCCAGGCACGGGGATTCCCCCACTCACACACAATCTTTCTGCAGTGGCTCCCGGTCTTAGTTCTGGAATAGGGACTATCTCAGGAGTTCAGAGTTACAGGTATGAACGAAGAAAATAAGAACAAAGGGTTGTTTAAGGATATATTTGCAAAGTGTATGTGATTGTCTATTCAGCCCCATTGTGTTCCTCTCAGGCTTCTGGATACTGTTGATTCTTGGTCAGGTTGCTGTTTTAAAAGACTTTTTGACCTATGTAACAACAATTATTAGCGTTTGGTCAAAAAAATTAACCCAAGTCCTAAGAAAGTGGAGTTGTATTTATTATGGTAAAGATAATCTACAGCTATTTAGTCTAATAACATGAAAAGAAGCTGTCATAATAAAAGTGATAATTGGTTTTCAAGGTCTGCTGCTGCATGGTATGGCTGTGGGCATTTAGTGGTGCAAAGAAGCTCCTTTGGAGAATTTTGCTCAAAGGTAATTTATTTGAAAACAACAATGAGGTATCACCTCACACCTGTCAGAATGGCCGCCATCAACAAATCATCAAGCAACAAGTGTTGGCGAGGGTGTGGAGAAAAGAGGACTCTAGTACACTGCTGGTGGGAATGCAGACTGGTGCAGCCACTATGGAAAACACTATGATGTTATCTCAAAAAATTAAAAAGTGAACTTCCATTTGACCCAGTGATCCCACTTTTAGGAATATAGCCTAAGAAGCCTGAAACACCAATTAGAAAGAATATATACCCCCATGTTTGTAGCAGCACTATTTACAATAGCTAAGATCTGGAAACAGCCCAAGTGTCCATCAGTAGACAAATGGATAAGAAAGCTGTGGTACATATACACAATGGAGTACTATGCAGCTGAAAGAAAGAAAGATCTCTTATCCTTTGAGACGACATGGAGGGACCTAGAAAGTATTATCCTAAGCGAAACAAGCCAAAGAGAGAAAGACAAGTATCATATGATCTCACTTATTTGTGGTATATAATGAACATAACATCTGAGGAATGGGGTAGTCCCAGAGACGTGGAAGTGGGGTACAGACTGACAATCCTCAGAAGAGGGGGTGGGGGGTGGGGATAAACCACAGAACTTATATGCATGTATGCATGAACAATGGACATGGACAACAAAGCTGGGGAGAGGGCGAGGAGGGAGGGGGAGGGAGGGAAGGGGGGATCAGTGGGAGGAAAAGGAGAAACATCTGTAACAAAAATAAATTAATTAAAAAAAAGGTAATTTATTTGGTTGGCGTCAGTAACTAGGTGGGAGGCATGAGTATAATAGTAAAGAACAGAATGTTTTATCAGATCTGTGTACATAATATATTTAAGAACAGGCATTAAATTCTGATTAAATGCATATCACTTGGTACTATGTAGTTTGGTTTTGTGCTTGAAAATAATTACTGCTGGTTCTAACTTAAATTTTTTGTTCTTGTTGTTGCAGAGTGGATGAGAAAACCAAGAAGTATTGTATTCCATTTGTTAAACCAAATAAACATTCTTCATCAGGCATTTATACTATTAATGTGACCACATCAGTAAGTAACTGTTCTTAGTGGTAGAAGAGCAAGCACAATCATTTCTAGACTTTTATTAATATTAAATATGATAGTGAACAACAGAATTTTATTTGAGGACAGACAGATCATAAAATGGAACCTAATTACACATATATCTTCCCAACCATCCATAATCATAAACGTGAAAGTCTTAAAGTTTAAGTAAGTTTTATAAAGTATTAGAAATCTGGAATTTAAAATATAAGATGTTATCAAAATGACAACTTTTTTTTTTTTTAAATTAAATCCTCACCCAAGGGTATTTTTACATTTATCTTCAGACAGGGTGGGGGAGAGAGAGAGAGAGAGAGAGAGAGAGAGAGAGAGAGAGAGAGAGAGAGAGAAACATCTATGTGAGAGAGACACATTGACTGGTTGCCTCTTGCACGACCCCAACCGGGGCCGGGGATGAATCACAACCGAAGTACGTGCCCTTGGCTAGAATCAAACCTGGGACTCATTGTTCTGTGGGCCGACACTCTAACCACTGAGACAAACCAGCCAGGGCAAAATGACATCTGTTTTAATTCTTTAGGCAGCAGTAAATTTTCTTAACCTAATGCTTGGTGATCAGTTCTTTCTTAGAGTAGAGCAGAAAGTAAATTGTCTTATCTCACCCACACTAGGTTTTTGGTGAAAATGTTCCTATTTCTTCATTTAACTAATATGTATTGATTATTTATTATGTATAAGACACTGGAGATGAATGAGTCCATTTTTCTTTTCCAGAAGCTCATGGTCTAGTAGAGGATCAGCAAATTAAATCATAGTGTCAGATTGTAATAGAAGCACGTACAAGGTTCACATATCTTCTGTAGCTTCCTAGGAACACCATTATGCTCAAGGCAGCTTCTTTTTAAAGTTAAGTTAGATCATCATCACTCTTCTATTCAAAACCCTCCATTGGTTTCTCATCTGTCAGTAAAGGCTCAAGTCCTTGCAGAGTTTGTCCCTGAATGACTCACTCCCCATCCGTCTGTCTCATTCACAACTACTCTCATTCTTTTTTTTTTTTTTTTTATCCTCACCCAAGGACATTTTCCCATTTTTTGTACAGATAGAGTGGGAGAGAGAGAGAGGAAGAGAGAGAGAGAGAAACATCGACGTGAAAGGGACACATCGAGTGGCTGCCACCCGCACGACCAACCAGGGCCGGGGACAAACTGCAACCGAGGTACATGCCCTTAGCGGGAACCGAACCCGGGTCTCTCTGGACCGCAGGCCGATGCTCTAACCGCTGAGCCAAACCAGCCAGGGCTACTCTCATTCTTGATCAATCTCTTCCAACCACATTGATTTTCTTGTTATTCCTGGAACATGGCCAGACATGCTCCCACATTTAGGCTTTTGCACTTGCTGTTCCTCTGCTCTAGAACATTCTTTCTTCAGATAATAAAAAAATTTTGCTTTTTCTCTTCCCTGGTTTACATGAAACCTTTTAATGATGTCTTCTCTAATTATAACTTATTTTGTCTCCCATTTCTTTCTATCCCCTCACCTTGCTTACTTTTTTCCCAGTACATATACTTGACATCCTCTGTGTTCTCTTATTTATATAGTGTCTTGTTTCCCCCACTGAAATGTAAGCTTCCAAGGCAGGGATTTTTGCTTTGTTTCCTCACTGCTCTACCCCACACCTAGAACAGTGTCTAGCACACTGGAACTGCTTAAGAAACGTGAATGAAATCTTCCAGAGAAAGGGAGGTATGGACATAGTCCCAAAATACTTTTTTTTTTCACAAGTTTTCCTCTCTACTTTTTTTCATTATCCTTGGGGCTGAAAATGTAGCCTCTTGTCAAGTCTTATGATTTGGACATTGTATTTGTTTGTCTTTAATTTGTCTTAGCCTACAATTTCCTTTTCACATACCCTACCTCTTGATTTCTTTGTGGACATTTTGTGTTTTACATGCCTTATCTGCTTTGGAAGATTATTTTGCTCAGCAAGGCTTTTCCAAATAGTGACTCAATACCATTCTTCTGGAATTGATATCAGCCTTCTTTCAGCCATTTTATAACCAACACTGGCTGGTAATATTAGATCTTATTTCTGTTTATCCTTCTTTGGAAGAGGCAATCAAAAAAGGAGGTAAAGATTAGTAGGGAGAAGACCCACTAGAAAATCGACGGAGGCAGAACTAAGCCTAAGCTGTCTTCAACTTCTAGGTCGAAGATCAATACCCCTTTACCTTATGTGAATACATATAATATTATAACATCTCTTATGTGTTTTATTTGCCACTCTTTGAATATGTAAATCAAGTAGTTTGGACTCATTATTTTATTTAATTTTTGCATTTGCAGATAGTTTTTTTTAGCTAATTCTTTTATTTTGTAGCTGATTTGAACCAAGAGCCTTAGCACTTATTCTATTAAAAGAACAAACAGAAACATCCAAAAGAAAGGAACTCAAAAGCTCCCTTCAGGACTTCTGAAGACTTTCTGGGAGGCAGAGTAGCATAATTCGCAGAATATCAAACTTGAAACATCAAGGAACCTCAATGGCTTAGTGATGTCATATATGTTTGTGTGTGTATGTCATTATATATACACACATACATACATATATATGATTTTATTATATATAGGTGTTTTTTCTTTTAGCAAATCACACATTCTTTCTATAGATCATCTGTTTTGAAAATGTGGAAAAGAATATAGACTTTCTGTCATTCTCAAATGAAACAGATTGGAAAAATGTCAAATTCATAAAGGTGCAGAGTTGAAGCGCTCCTACTATTCTTCACTTTATTATTTTTTTCAGACTTTATCAACCATGAAGTAATAATACTAATTATTAGGAAAATAATTGAAGTTGTAATTCTTTATCTAATAAACTGTGTTCCTAGGAGACAATATTATGTGCTAACTCTGAGGAGCAAGATGAGGACAAACATTTAAAAAATGAGTAACATGATTATATTGGGAAAGGAAAAAATAAGCTAGGACATATGATATATCTGGCAAGATGGACTATTCAAAATTAAGCAACTATATGCTGAAAAGCTAAGCAAGTGTCCTAAGGCCTGACCTTGCTGGCCTGATTCCCATCTGCTAACCTTTTACTGATTGCCAGGACTTAACCAAAGACTTAACTGGAGAGGGAGAATGAGAAACTCATGTCAACCAGTAATCCATTAGTTAGCAATTTTAATAAATTTGCTGAGGAAGAAGTTTGAAATAATTAGATGAAATTGTTTGTTTGTGTTATTGCTATTCTTCAAATGTTGTATTATTCTAGACCTTCAATTCCATAAATTTTAGGATATGAATGTAGTAGTTAGAAAAGGGGCAAGCCCAGCTTACCTGGAAGCTAATTCATTTGTGTTAACCATTCTGATGATATTAGGTCACTAGTGAAAAGAGCCTCCTTCAGGCAAATAAGAAAAGAAGAGAATACTCAAAGACAGATGTCCATTTGCCTGAATTAAACTATAATCATCTCCCTGAACTAAGAGCCTTGGAAGGCATAGGTATGTTTATAGTGCTTTTATCTTTTCAGCCCTTGTGTTTACATTATTTAAGATGTATGTTAAATGAACAGAATATTAAAAATTAATAGTAACTTTACATATTTAAGTATATACATAGGTGCAGACTTATGTACATAAAAAGGGACAGATATAGAATGTGGAAAATAAAAAATATCTAATCTATTTTATTGTGTTTATGTTTTTTTTTTTTTTTTATGCAGCTCGAAATTCCAGGCTAATAAAGAAAGAGAACAAAAATCTTTCAGAATCTCGAATCCCTTCTCTGGCTGCTATTGACTCGCATGTCCCTGGTGGAGCATTGCATCAGGTACGCAGATACTCTTTGAAGGATACTCTCTCTCATACTTCCTGTTCAAGTAGCATAGGGAAAGTTTGCCCTTGAGGATTGGGAAGGTTGATTGGTGAGATCTATAAAGTTTTGCTTGTTAAATTTTATCTTATGGTTCATTGAACTTAGTATGTTTATTACATATATTTATATAAACATTTCCCAGCTTAAAGTAATCAAGTTTTTATTATTAAAAATGTGTGTGTGTGTGTGTGTGTGTGTGTAGCCTAGTTATGGCTTTCATATAATTACAGGTTTTGTTGTAGCTTATGGTATTTTACGACTTAGCCTCAAAGTTATAACTTTGTATCTTTAAAAGAGTGAAACTCTGAAATTGTTTTTATTCTTTTGAAATGTCTGTTTGACACTTTTTTCCAAGATGATCCACTTCATCCATGTTAAAAATTTGCTCTTCTCTATAATTATCTTTTTCTAGAATTTCTCTTAACTCTTAAGAATGTTTATGTTTCTGCTACTTTTATACCAACAACAGTTATATAATTTATTTTCACACTAAGGAAACTGGCAAACTTTTAAATCTCCCAAACCAAACATAACTTGCTACAAACTTTGCATATGTATCATTGTACTTTCCCTTTACTTTTTCAGATTTCTCACCTTTGCTTGATGCTATGAAACTTTTGTTTGGGAATTTAATTCTCCATCCTCATTATTTAAGCATTTCCATTTCATAGAGAGCAACTATTGTTGCCTATTTATCTAGGTGGATGCTTTTTTCTGTTGTTACTCCTTAAATAATTCTGTAGCACTCTCTAAGCAAGGGAAATACTATTGCTGAGGATAAATTATAGAGGCAGTTATTCAGTGATACTGAGAAAAAGGTTTATTGACTGCTCTTGCTTTGCCTTATCTTTGGCTGATGATTTCTGTAGCCACGTAATAAAAACCTGAACAAATTCCTTTTGTGTGAAGATTAATCAGTCACAGATTTTACATTTAGAATCTATAGAGTCTCAGTAAATTCCTGTATACTTCTAAACTTAAATTGAATGTGGATTTTAAAGGTGTAGAATTTTCCATTTGTTCTTTGAGACTGCACTATTGTTCAAAACCACTTTTCACGGTATACATAACCAAATCTAGTTTCAGTCAATGGAAGAAAAGGCTTTGGCTGCCTCCACACTTCTTCAATATTTTTATTTGTTATTTTGAACTAATCTTTTTATACATATAGATTTGTTCTGCATTTTTACTTCCAATTTACTTGTTTAATTTCCAGTTGTATTTAAACTACAATAAAGGAGAAAATAGTTGTAGCAAAAAACACAAATTAATACCAAAAGAACGTGAGCTTATGTATGGAAAATCTGAATGGAAAGAGAAACACCAGGAGACTTAAAGCAAAAGACCTTCTGGCAGGTGCTGTGACTTGCCTTGCACTCTTTACGTATTGATAATACATTAGACTATGTTTCATTTCTGTACATAGCACAAAAATTTTCACGTTTATAAGTTTATTCGTACCTTTTAGAAAAATCTGTAAGATTTTTATGAGTAAAATGTTGCATAATCCATGGAATGTCTCTTCACTCCCCCACACCCTACACACTTACACATGTTATGTCCCTGTACACATAACTACACATTTTTCCTGTAAGCACTGTTTTAGCTTTATCCAACAAATTTTGATATGTTGTCGTTTCATTATCATTCAGTCCAAACATTTTCTTATTTCCCTTGTAACTTACTTTCTTTCTTTCTTTCTTTCTTTCTTTCTTTCTTTCTTTCTTTCTTTCTTTCTTTCTTTCTTTCTCTCTCTCTCTCTCTCTCTCTCTCTCTCTCTCTCTCTCTTTCTTTCTTTCTTTCTTTCTTTCTTTCTTTCTTTCTTTCTCTTTTTGGTAATTTCTTCTCTAACCCACAAATCATTTAGAAATGTTTGTTTAATGGTTAGATATTGGGGGATTCCCTAGATATTTTATTATTATTAATTTCTAATTTAATTCCATGTGGTCAGAGAATATACTCTGTATGATTTTGATTCTTTTAGCTTCACTGAGGTGTATTTTATAGCCCAGCATATGGTCTATATTGGCAAATTAAACTTGTTCCCTTAAAAATACTGTATATTCTTTTGTTGTTGGATATAATGTTCTATAAATGTGAAATTAGATTAAGGTGGTTGATAGCGTTGTTCAGATCTTCTATATCCTTAATGATTTTTGTTGTTGTTTAGTTCTATCAGTTACCGAAGGAGTGCTGTCAAAATATTTTATGATGATTGTGGAGATGTCTATTTTTCTCTTATATCTATTTATTTTTGCTTCATGTATTTCAAATATCTATTTTTAGTTACATACACACTTAAATTGTTTTGTCTCCCTGATACATGTCCCTTTTATCATTATAAAATGTCTCTATATCTCATAGTGCTCTGTGTCTTGAAGTCTATTTTATCTGAGATTAAAATAGACACGCCAGCCTACTTATACTTATGTTTCCATGATATTTCTTTTTATTTCTCATTTATTTTCAACCTATCTGGTTTAAAGTAAATGTAAAGTGTTTTTTTTTTTTTTTTTTTTTTTTTGCCAACAGCATGAAAGTAGGGTCTCTCTCTCCTTTGTATCCATTCTGTCAATTCCAATTCTTTTAATTGGAATGTGTATTAGTTTTCTATTGCCGCTAAAAATGACTACCAACTTAAAACAATATCCATTTATTATTTCACAGTTTCCATGGGTCAGAAGCCGGGCCAAAGCTGCTTCTCTCCTTAAGAGTCTCACAGGCCGAAATCAAGATGTCAGCAGGGCTGCATTTCTTTCTGGAGGCTCTAGGGGAGAATCCGTTTCCAGGCTCATTCAGGTTGTTGGCAGAATTTAGTTTCATGTGGTTGTGGGACTGAGGTCCCTGTTTCCTTGCTGGCTGACACCCAGGGATTGTTCTCAACTTCTAGAGGCCACCCACACTCCTTGGCTCATGGCTTAGTCCGCCATCTTCAAAGACAGTAACAGTGGCTGGATCTTTTTTATTCTGTAATCTCTCTTACCTCTTCTTCTGCCTCATCTCTCTGACTCACTCTTCGGCCTTTCAGGGTGCATGGGGTTGATTACACTGGGCCCACCAGGATAAGAGTGAGTGGATTAGTAACATTAATTTCCTGTGGAAAGTCCCTTCACACAGAAGCTAAATTAGTTTGATTGACTAACTAAGGATAGGCATCTTAGGGGCAATATCTTCAGAAATCTGACTAGCACTGAATAGTTAGGCCATTAACATTTAATGTGATTATTAATATGTTTGGGTCTAGCTCTGTTTTATTTTTTTATTATGTGTTTCTTATTTGTTCCTCTGTTTTTCCTTCCCAGTCTTCTTTTGTATTGGAATATTTTTAGTGTTGGCTTTTGGGAGGATATCTCTTTGTATTATTTTTTAGTCACTGCTCTGGGAGTTACAGTATATCTACATAACTAATCTTTCACAGCCTACTTAGAGTAAATATTAGGCCCTCTGTAAAATGTAGAAACCCTTCAAACATATTTCCTTTTCCACCAACATAAATTTTATGTTAGAGTTATATGTGTTTTATTTACATATATTGAAAACCCCACTACAATGTCATACTTTTTGCTTTAAGCAATCATAAATATTCTAAACAATTTATGAGAAAAAAAAGCAGTCTTCTATATTTATCTAGCTACTTACCATTTCTGTTTTTTCTTTGTTCTTAAAGAGTACAGTTTTATATTTTGGTATTTTCTTTCCACCTGAAAAACTTCCTTCTTGCATTTCTTGCAGAACAGGTCTGGTGGTGATTGACTCTCTTAGTTTTCCTTCATTTGAGAAGGACGTTATTTTGCTTTCATTCCTGAAATAATATTTTCACTGGATATAAAAAATTTGAGTTGGTAGGTTGTTTTAATTTTTTTTTTTCTCTTGGGACTATAAAGATGTTATTTCTCTGTTTTTTTTATCTTTATACTTTCCTGGGGGAAGTTCTCAGGCACTTGAATTGTTTTTTTTCTGTGTGTAATGTTTCATTTTCCTCTGGCTGCTCTCAAGACTTTATCTTTTGTGTTCATTAGTTTGAACATGATGTGTTTGAGTATAGTTTTATTTAAAAAAATATATGTTTTTATCATTCTTTTAGAGAGAGAGAAAGGGGGAGAGATAGAAACATCGATGTGGGAGAGATACATTGATTGGCTGCCTCCTGTATTCCCCTACTAGAGATGAAGCCTGCAACCTGGGCATGTGCCCTGACCAGGAATTGAACTGGGACTTCTCAGTCCACGGGGCAATGCTCAATCCACTGAGCCACACTGGCCAGGCTGGGCATAGTTATTTATTTATTTATTTATTTATTTATTTATTTATTTATATCCTGTTTGGGGTTTCCTGAGCTTCTTGAATCTGTAAACTTATCTCTTTTTATTAAACTGGGGAAGTTTTTAGTCATTATTTCTTCAAAAAAATTTTTTTTTGCCACAATATCTTTTTCCTTCTGAGATTCCAATGACATATATGTTAGATCTTTTGGTATTTTCTTACAGGTTCCTGAGACTCTGTTCGTGCTCTTAAATCTTTTTTCTCTTTATTTTTAAGATTGGGTCATTTCTATTGATCTGTCTTCAAGTTCTTTGACTCTTGTTTGCATTCTGCTATTAAGCAATCCAGTGAGGTTTGAAAATTTCAGTACTGTGTTTTTTAGTCTTAAATATCCCCTTAGTTCTTTTTTAGAGCGTCTACATTTCTACAAAGAATTCCTGGCCCTTCATTTCAAGTACCTTTTTTTCCATCTCATCTACCATACTCATAATGGCTACTTTAAAGTATATATAAATTCCAACATCTGGGTCACTCCAGGATTGATGTTTATTGATTGAATTAATCACACTTTTCTGGATGTTTTTATGTCCAGTATTTCTGGATTATTTCTAGGACATTGTGGATATTATGTTGTGTAGCCTCTGTGTCCTGTTACAATGCTCTGAAAAATGTTGAATTTTTTGTTTTAGCAGGAAGTCACCCAACTTTGGTTCATATTGTAAATTCTGCCTAGATTCTGTGAGAGGTGGCACAACTCTTAGTTCTCTAAGGGTTTGTTATCCTGGTTTTCATTGTCCTGTGTGCTCATGTAGTTCCAGAGACTTGTGCTGGTGATTCAAATCTCAGTTTAGTTCTCCAAGCCTCTGCTGTGCTTGTCTGCAGCTATCCCGTGCGGGTGTAACTCCAGAGTGGGACTAAGACTTCTGTGGATTTATACACAGAACTAGAAGATCCCTTTCTCCAGTTCTGTTCCTTTCAGAATCCCCCCCACATTTTGTCCTGCAGGGATGCCTTTTCCTGGTTTCTCTATAAAGATGGGGTTTCTTTCAGGCTTTTAGCCTGCTGCACTTCCTCACTACTCTGGGGCTAGGGCAAAGCCACAAGACTGAAAGGCAAAATTGGAAACCTACCCCACATGAAGGGTCACATCTTCAAGTTTTGACTCCTCTCCTTAATACTTCGTTTTTTTGTTTTTCATATTTTTCCCAAAGGGTTTTTTGTGTGTGTTCGTTTTGTTTGTTTGTTTATAATAAGTAGGAGAGGAGGTTGTAGCGGGTCTACACTGCCCTGGCACATCAAAAGTATGCATCAACAAAGAGGTCAAAGAGTAACATCCCCTTACATCGTCTTCTTCTGTGCAAGCAACTTGAACTATGGATAGTTAATTTTAAACATGAATTGGGGTTTTAGGGCAGTGGGACTTTAACAATGACTGAGAGTCCATAATGCTCGATTATTAATTTACAGGTGCCAGGATCTCCCCTATCAGAGGACTCGGAGACTGATTTACCTCGGATGGAACACCAGCATTGAATGTCAGTTTGGTTCTGAACTGGGTAGGTCTGATTTCTCTCTCTCTTTTTTTTTTAAATCCTCACCCAAGGACATTTTCCCATTTTTGTTCAGATGGGATGGAGGGAAGGAGGGATGGAGAGAGAGAGAGAGAGAGAGAGAGAGAGAGAGAGAGAGAGAGAGAGAGAGAAACCTTGATGAGAAAGCAATACATCAAGTGGCTGCCTCCCGCACGGCCCCAACCAGGGCCAGGGATGAATCACGACTGAGGTACATGCCCGTGACCAGAATTGAACCCGCAACTCACTAGTCCACGGGCCAATGCTCTAACCGCTGAGCCAAACCAGCCAGGGCTGCTTTCTCTTATCTGAAGCTGTGTAACTTTTCATGGGATATTGTGTATATTTGTGTATACAGTGTTAGAAAGTGAGTGAGATAGAAATCTAGAAAGATTTTATGTAAAGTATTTGGTGGCATGTATTCTCCCTGTGCTTTTAGGTGCTGCTCCAGCCCTCGAGATGACATCCTCTTGGAACAAAAGTGCTGATTGATATCCTAGGAGATCTATGTAGTTTTGATTATTTACTTCTGAACTGCCTGCATTTTCTGAGAAAAGTCTTGCAGAAGGAAAGACAAAGACTTCCAGGTGTTTAAACGGAAGATGGAACAAGTGTCCCCCCTTCCCCAGCTGTTATCCCATCACCTTTCTAGTCCACTGATGCTATTTCAAGATCTATCCAATGAAAGAATAGTGATATGGTTCTTGTTACATGAGTATATATTTGCTATTAGTAGGGTGTGTATTTAAAGTTATCCAAGATTGAAAGTAAGTAAAAAAGAGAGAGACATTATAGAAAGTTCATGTTACGTATGCATTGAACTTTGTGTTATCTGCATTAATGTGTACATTTATTTATTAGTGTGTTTGGTGGATGTGGGTGCTAAAAACTAGGATCAGTTGAAGAAAACGGAAAAACTTGGATCAAAGAAAATGATTCCTTTACCCTAACTTAACTATGAAAACACATTTAAGAATCTTGCTTGTTTCTAGGTTCTTTAGGGATAGATGTATTTCTTTGGTTTCTGTGATTATAGTTGATGTTTGATCAGTGTATCATGGAAATCTGCCTCTCTGCTGATCTTCTAAGAAACACACTAAGTCCAGGTTTTGCAAAGAAACCTTTTATATCTAATGGTTTGGGAAGGCTGGTACTGGAGAGTCCTCCACACTACGATTCTGGTGCTAATATTCCCGTGTGCAGGAATGTGATTAGGACAAGAGTGGGAAAGGAGAATTTTGTAGGTGTTGAAACTTCTTATTGACAAAAGAGGCGTATATACAAAATCAGGGGATGGGAAGCAGGGCTACTCTTCTCTGGGCCATGTGCTACTGAACCCCCCCGCTGAAGAGGCTTTGGGCAGGGAATGTCCATTGCTCTGGACTTCCCTCCTATCCACTGATGGTTTGAAGGTGATATTAGACAGAATATCTATCTAAAATCCCAGAGAAATTTCTGTCTCCTTGTTTCATCAAACAGTTAGGCCTTCCCAAAAACTTAACCAAGGTGCAAAATAATAACCTACAGTACACACATCTTTTCTAATGCACTGGTCCACAACTTTTAGGTGGGAGAGTTAAACCAATTTGGCTCCACGTTTTTGGTTTCTGGGTTTACAGTCATGATCTGCATTTATCACTTTAGAAAATGGTTAAGGGGACTAGAATTTGTGTAGGTTTTTTGCCTTGTCCAATTAACAGTGTGGTTTTTTTCTCAAAAGACGTTTATTAGAACTTAAGCCAATAACTTAACTAGCACTTATCTCTATTACTTACCCTGTGGAGCTTAATATTGAAATTTTAACAATAGTTACTTGAGCCTCAAACGAGTAGGATTCAGGAGGCAAAACAAGGGGCTGCCATATAGAAGTCTATAGGTGGTTCAATTAAAACCTGATCTTGATTTTCAAGCTCTGTCTTAAACCTCTGACCAGGTGTTTGACTAGACCAGGTAGGTATGGCTAACATGCTGAACAAAATTACTCTACAGGTATTAATGGGCCTCACATTAAAGTATTATTATTTTTACTTTGAAAAATGTTGTCAACAGCCACAACAGCATAAAAAGCAGACAATACTTAAAAGCCAAGTGGCTGTCCAGCCTATTTCAATGTTAGTTTTATTTAAAGATTGGTGTGAAACTATCATCTCAATGTCTGAAGGTCTAGCATCAGTTAATTTTTCATTCTATATTTGCCTTTGTTATCTTTTATCTATTAAAACATTTTGTGCAGATTACAATTAAGGAAATAAATCATATTTACTCTAAGTCCAAGTAACCTGAGGCTCATATATGGTTAGAACCTTGGTAGAACTACTTGAAAAAGAAGATTTTGCAAATTGGGGCTATAGACACTGAACTAAAATAATCCTGTTTTTCAGTTTAAGGTTATTTTGTCTTTCCTTATAAGGATATGGTTAAGTCACATACGAATAGGAAATATGTGTATGTACTGGTGGGAAAATGAGCTTGCTGTGTGTATATATATTTTACAGTTAATAAATATTATATGTTATTGAGCCCCATAGATAGTTTTTATTTGCATTTATTTAATTAATAGACTATAAACAATGCATACGACACGGTATGGTATTTAAGAAATACATTTGAAATAATCTGTTAATTCTTTCTGGGAAACTTTGGATATAGGGATGGCAAGTTAATTTTCTTGTACAGCCAGTGATACAAGCAGTCAGGTCATAAAGTAACATGTCTTGTAAAGACTACCTGGTAAAATGAAAGTTGCAACAAACTCAGACTTAGAACCTGGCTGTCCTGATTGAGAATCCCTTGCTTGGTTAGAATAGCTGATGTCCTATTGAAATGGAAACGTAGATGTGTTGGCTTGTCTAACCCTGTCATTATTAGTTGTGCTACAATATAAGGCTGGATCAGTACTCAACTGTGAGTCAGATTAGATTGAGGAATGTGACTGACTTATTTTCTAAACCCTCTTCTATCTAGCTGAGCCACTGGCAGAGAATTAGAAAACACCAGCTCCTCACTCTTTAAGGCTTTAAGGCTACTCCTAGTGGATTGGACTAAGTGGATTTTCCTCTGTTCTTTTGTGTTGTGTTTTTACACAACAGGCCCTTAATACTCATCTTTGTGAATGACAAATTATATTCTCATATTGCTTTTTAAAGGGTCTTATTTTTCGTTTGATAGCTGTAGATATGAACTAATTTGAAAATGTAATGAACATAGTGTTTATCTGTTTCTTTTTTTTCTTTTCTTTTTTATTAATTAATTTTTGTTACAGATGTTTCTCCTTTTTCCTCCACTGATTCCCCCCTCCCCGTTTCTTAAATGTCCTGTGAAATACCTGACCACAAATCTTGACACCACTTGTTATCACTTGTGTGTAACTTGTGTGACTTGTGATTCAGAGCTTTGTGTTTATAGATGTTTGGGAATATCTGACACTGAATGTATTCCACACAGAAATTTTCTTTCTGTCTTTTTTTTTTTTTTTTTCAGTTTTACTTTTATTTATTTACCTATTCATTTTTCTATTTAATTTTTAAAATAAATATATTTATTTTTGTTACAGATGTTTCCCCATTTTCACCCACTGATTCCCCCCTCACCTGCCCTCCCCACCCTGTCCCCACCTTTGTTGTCCATGTCCATTGTTCATGCATACATGCATATAAGTTCTGTGGTTTATCTCTCCCCCCACCCCTCTTCAGGGGATTGTCAGTCTGTACCCCACTTCCACGTCTCTAGGACTATCCCATTCCTCAGACGGTTTGTTATGTTTGTTGTATTCCACAAATAAGTGAGATCATGTGATATTTGTCTTTCTCTGCTTGGCTTGTTTTGCTTAGGATAATACTTTCCACGTCCCTCCATGTCATCTCAAAGGATAAGAGATCTTTCTTTCTTACAGCTGCATGGTACTCCACTGTGTATATGTATCACAGCTTTTTTATCCATTCGTCTATGGATGGACACTTGGGCTGTTTCCAGATCTTAGCTATTGTAAATAGTGCTGCTACGAACATAGGGGTACATGTATTCTTCCTGATTGGTGTTTCAGGCTTCTTAGGGTATATTCCTAGAAGTGGGATCACTGGGTCAAATGGCAGTTCAATTTTTAATTTTTTGAGGTAACGCCATAGTGTTTTTCATAGTGGCTACACCAGTCTGCATTCCCACCAGCAGTGTACTAGAGTCCCCTTTTCTCCACACCCTCGCCAACACTTGTTGTTTGATGATTTATTGATGGCGGCCATTCTGACAGGTGTGATGATACCTCATTGTTGTTTTAATTTGCATCTCTTTGATGATTAGTGATGTTGAGCATTTCTTCATATGTCTCTTAGCCATTTGTATGTCCTGTTTGGAGAGGTGTCTATTTAGTTCCTCTGCCCATTTTTTAATTGGGTTCTTTGTATTCCTTGTGTTGAGTTGTATGAGCACTCTCTCTATATATATATTGGAAATTAACCCCTTATCTGATATATTGTTGGCAATGATGCTCTCCCATACAGTGGGTTGCCTTTCCATTTTGACGATTGTATCTTTTGCTGTGCAGAAGCTTTTGAGTTTGATGTAGTCCCATGTGTTCATTTTCTCCTTTGTTTCTGTTGCCTTAGGTGATGTATCAGTGAAAATTCTGCTGTGTATGATGTCTGAAATTTTGTTGCCTACATTTTCTTCTAGAATTTTTATGGATTCATGAGTCACATTTAAATCTTTTATTCATTTTGAGTTTATTTTTGTGTATGGTGTAAGTTGATGGTCTAGTTTCATTGTTTTACATATCACTGTCCAATTTTCCCAACACCATTTATTAAAGAGGCTGTCTTTACTCCATTGTATGCTCTTGCCTCGTTTGTCGAATATTAATTGAGCATATTGCCTTGGGTCCATTTCTGGGTTCTCTGTTTTGTTCCACTGGTCCATATGCCTGTTCTTGTGCCAGTATCAGGCTGTTTTGATTACTGTGGCTTTATAGTATAACGTGAAATCTGAAAATGTGATCCCTCCTACTTTGTTCTTCTTTTTCAAGATTGCTGTGGCTGTTTGAGGTCTTTTTTGATTCTATATGAACTTTTGAAGCATTTGTTCTAGTTCTGTGAAATATGTCATTGGTATTTTGATGGGAATTGCATTGAATCTATAGATTGCTTTGGGTAGTATGGACATTTTAATGATGTTGACTCTTCTGATCCATGAACAAGGTATGTGCTTCCACTTTTTTTATATCTTCCTCTATTTCTTTGGTTAAGTTTATTCCTAGGTATCTTAATTTTTTGCTGCGATGGTAAATGGGATTGTTTTTTTAGTTTGTCTTTCTGTGACTTCATCATTGATGTATAAGAATGCCATCGATTTCTTGATGTTAATTTTATATCCTGCTACTTTGCCAAATTCATTTATTTTTTTAAAATTTTTTATTTATTTTTTTTGTTACAGATATTTCACCTTTTTTACCCCATTGGCATCCCCCTCCCCACCCAACCCCCGCCCCGTCCCCTGCTTAGTTGTCCATGTCCATTGGTCATGCATACATGTATATAAGTTCTGTGGTTTATCTCTTTCCCCCCCCACCCCCTCTTCTGAGGGATGTCAGTCTGTGCCCTACTTCCATGTTTCTGGGTCTACCGTATTCCTCAGACTGTTATGTTCATTATATTCCGTATATAAGTGAGATCATGTGGTATTTGTCTTTTTCTGCTTGGCTTATTTCACTTAGGATAATACTTTCCAGGTCCCTCCATGTGGTCTCAAAGGATAAGAGATCTTTCTTTCTTACCGCTGCATAGTACTCCATTGTGTATATGTACCACAGTTTTTTATCCATTCGTGCCAAATTCATTTATTAAGTCCAGTAAATTTTTGATGGACTCTTTGGGGTTTTCTACGTATAGTATCATGTCATCTGTGAATAATGACAGTTTCACTTCCTCCTTTTCCATTTGGATCCCTTTTATTTTTACCTCCTGTCTGATTGCTGTGGCTAAGACATCCAGTACTATGTTAAATAAGAGTGGCAAAAGTGGGCATCCTTGCCTTGTTCCTGTTCTTAAGGGAAATGCTTTTAATTTTTGCCCATTGAGTATGATGTTGGTTGTAGGTCTTTCATATATGGCTTTATTATGTCGAGATATGATCTCTCTATTCCCACATTGCTGAGCGGTTTTATCAGAAATGGGTGCTGGATTTTGTCAAGTACTTTTTCAGCATCTATTGATATGATCATATGATTTTTATCTTTCATTTTGTTTATGTGGTGTATCACAGTTATTCATTTGTGAATATTGTACCAGCATTGCATCCCTGGGATGAATCCCACTTGGTCATGGTGAATAATTTTATGATGTATTGCTGGATCCGATTTGCTAGTATTTTGTTCAGGATTTTGGCATCTATGTTCATCAGGGATATTGATCTGAAGTTTTCTTTCTTTGGAGTGTCTTTTTCTGGTTTTGGAATTAGAATTATGCTAGCCTCATAAAACGAGTTTGGAAGTCTTCCATCTTCTTGAATTTTTTGAAATAGTTTGAGGAGAATGGGTATTCGTTTTTTTTTGAATATTCGGTAAAATTCCCCCGTGAAGCCATCTGGGCCTGAGCTTTTGTTTGCTGGGAGAGTCTTGATTACATCTTCGATTTCTTCTCTTGTTATTGGTCTGTTCAAGTTTTCTATCTCTTCCTGGTTCAGTTTTGGGAGACTGTGTTTATACAAATTTGTCCATTTTGCTTAGATTGTCGAATTTTTTTGCCATATAATGTTCATAATCTTTGTTAACAATCCTTTGTATTTCTGTGGTGTCAGTAATTATTTCTCTTCTTTCATTTCTGATTTTGTATATTTGGGTTCTCTCTCTGTGTTTCTTGGTGAGTCCAGCTAAGGGTCTATCAATCTTGTTTATCTTTTCAATTTGTTTCATTGATCCTTTGAATTGTTTATTTGGTCTCCATGTCATTTATTTCTGCTCTGGTCTTTACTATTTCCTTCCTTCTACTGGCTTTGGGTTTTCTTTTTGTTTGCTTTCTAGTTCTTTAAGTTGTGAGGTTAGATATTCTGTTAGAAATTTTTTTTTGCTTCCTGAGGTAGGCCTGTAGTGCTATGAACTTCCCTCTCAGAACTGCTTTTGCTGCATCCCACAGATTTTGTGTTTTTGTGTGTTCATTTTCATTGGTTTCCAGGAAGTTTTTAATTTCTTCCTTGATCTCCATGGTAACCCATTCATTGTTCAATAACATGCTATTTAGCCTCCAAGTTTTCAAATGTCTTTGCATGTTCTTGTTGTAGTTGATTTCTAGTTGCATGCCATTGTGATCTGAGAAGATGCTTGATATGATTTCAATCTTCTTGAACTTGTAGAGACTTAGTATGTGTCCTAACATGTGGTCTATTTTTGAGAATGTCCCATGTGCACTTGAGAAGAATGTGAATTCTGCAGTTTTGGGGTGTAATTCTTTGTAGATATCTATTAAATCCATTTGATCTAGTGCTTCATTTAGAGTCTCTGTGTTTTCTTGTTAATTTTTTTCTAGAAG